AATGTTATTTCTTTTTATATTTTATATTATATTAAATAGTACATTTTTTATTATAAAATATTTGTATTTTATTGTATGTTATTATCGTTATTTATATTTTTTTAATAAATAAATAAATTTAAATTGAATTAAATTTAAATTAAATATTAATAAATTATTAAGTTATAAATTTAATATTATGAATAATGAAAATGTTTAAAAACCTTCAGAAAAATGGAATACATTTAGAAAAACATAATTATGTTTAAAAAATATTCAGAGAACAGGATTATGTCTAAAAATTATCTGAAAAATGTTCAGAAAATATCCAATTTTACATTCTAAAGAAATCAAACATTGAAATTCTGGATAACAACATTTTTCAGACAAAATGAATGTCCAGAAACTATCAAGATTTGAAACATATTTTAGACAATAGAAAAGTTCAGAATTTGTACATTATTATTTCTGGACATTCTTTTTTTATAGGGGAGTAAGAATGAATGTATTATTAAAATGTTCAATGCATTATCTCTTGATTTTAAAGGTATTGATCTTGTCATTTTTGAAGGTGATGATACTATTCTTGAAAGTTTATTTAAAGAATCAGATTCATTACTTGATTCCAGAGCTATTGATGATCTATTTAAAGAAAAAAAATCATCAATTGGACTATTTGCTCTTGAATCTACTATTAACATTGTTCTTGATTAAACAGTTGTATTTAAATGAATATATTCTTGAAAATTAGCTTCTGGTTCTAGGATTGATATTAATCTTGAGTTTCATTCTATTTCTAAAGAGCCTTATTATAAAATTTCTTTATAATTGCTATCATTAAAATCGGTATTATTATTTTTATAATTAACACCATCATCTTTTAAGAGTTTAACAATAGTTTGTGATGATGAAAGATCAACTTTTTGTCTCGTTTTATAATTTTTTTTACTTTTACTTTGCTGATTATCAATACTATTATCATTTAAAGATAAAGGAGATAAAGAATCAACTATTTCTTGTTGCTTTTTCTTGTGACCTCGCTTAGAACCTGTATTTTTATTCTGTATAGTAATAATATCATTATTTAAAAGATTATTAAGATTGTCTTAAATATCTTCTTCCTTTTGAGTAACTGCTTCCTTTTATTTCTTATTATTATATGTAGTTAATTTTTTATTTGTATTATTTTTTGTATTTCTTGTATTTATTATTATTTTTTGTTAAAAATAAAAAGAAAAAAATTAAAAAAAATTATTAAATAATTATTATTATTGTTATTATACTTTTAAACTTTTAGTTTAATTATTACTAAATTTGGTTAATAATAGCCAACTGCAGAAAACTTTAACATGTGATAATAAAGAACTTATTATATAAAAAATAAAAATAAATATGAAACTAATTATTACTAAATCTGATTAATAATAGCTAATCACAGAAATCTTTAACTTGTGATAATAAAAAATTTAAATAAAATAAATACAAATCTATAAATAAATTATAATATTAGATTATTTAAACAAATTTTTTAATTATTCACTTGTATTAAAAAATTCTACAAATAAATTTATTTATAAATGATTACTAAAATTAGCTTAGCATTTTATATAATTTAATATAAATTGTTAAAGTTGGCTAGCAATTATTATTTGAAGTCAAATTTTATATAATAATATAAAAAAGGTTATTAATTTTTATAATTTAAGTATATAAATAAAGTATAATTTTTTTCTCACAATTTGCAACTTTTATTTCTTAAAAAATTTTATTTTTTTCTCATGATTTGCAATCTTTATTTCTTAAAAAATTATTTCTTAAAAAAATGTTTTGCAACTGTTATATCTCTTATAATTATTGATAAAATTATATAAGATATCTACATAATAAATTATTAAATATTAAAGATAATAAAAGAAATCTTGAAATTAATAGTAAATATATTACATTATATAATGAATTATAATGATAACTATTAATATATTTAATAATAAATTCGTTAAATAGATTGTAATAATAAAGAAATTAAAATACAAAATAAAGAAGCAAATAATTATAAAATGAATTATAAAATGCTAATTGATATAGATACTGATAATGAGACTCAAATGAAGACTTTTTAAATTATAATGAAGAATTATTTGATTTTGAAGATGAAATATTGATTGAAAAATCTAGTGAAAAGTGTTAATAATACTTTTGATGAAGTTGTTGATGAAGGCTTAAATAATGAGTAAATGCCATTTATTCATGAAGATTTTGCTCCATATTTTGAAAATATTACTGAAGCATTTATATTTTGCTGAATTCAAAAGTATAATATAAGTAAGGATTTATTATTAAAAATTATTATAGATAAAATGCTAAAATTTTTTATATTTTCTTAATAGCTACTCAAGCTTATAACTAATTGGTGGATATAATTCACCATCTACAATTTGAAAGTAATAATGTTGTAATAAATATTTGCAGATTTAGAAAGTATCGACAAAGATTACCTTTATTTCCTATTAGATTATACAAAGTATATATTTCAAGTAAAAAAACCCTGTCAATTTTTAAATAAACAAAGGATATCTATTACAAATATCATTTGGCATTCTTTTAATTATCCTTTACTATTTAACCAAATGTATTTTGGTTCTAGTTAAATAGTTAAAAAAAAATCTAGAACTTTGACATGAAAGGAATCACTGAGATTTGGATGTGCATTTATTTAAATTAATAGAGGTATATTATAATTATTAAAAAATTATTATGAAGATATTTACTGTATATAAACAATATTTATTAAAACATTTTATTTTATTATTAAAAATATTATTATTTAATTTTAGCAATATATAAATGTGGAGATTTTATAGTTTATAAAGAAATAATAACAAGGATTGGTAGAATTTTAGCAATAGTAAAAATACATGATGAACTCAAAAAAATAATCCAACAAATTTTAAGTTTTGATAAATTACCAAATAATTTACAAAGTAATAATTGCAGAAGAAGATCACATATTGAGTTATGATTATTAGATCGAGAGATAGAAAATGCAGTTACAACTATTAAATTACAAGATATTATTAAATATGTCACAGTTTTTATGCTTTATAATGAAGATATTATTAATGAAACTTCTTTAATTATTATTTGAGAAATTCTTTATAAACATCAAAATCATTGGAAGTTAAGAAGTATTACATATTTTTATCAGCATCCTTCAGAATTTGCTCTATTAGAAGAATCAATAACACATCTTTCAATATATAAGTTATATATTAATGTGTATTATGATGACTTTAGGATATTTCGTAATGTTTATCATTCACTAGGTGGTGTTTATATTCAAATTGGAAACATGCCTTTTAAGAAGGAAAAAAACTCAAAAATCATTTTATGTTTGGTTTTGTTCCATTTGGTGGCTGTTTTGAAGAATTTATTGAACCTTTTATTTTAGAGATGAAAATATTAGAGTAGGGAAAAATTATGAATATTCAAGGAATCAAAAGTTTTATTATTGCAAATCTTGGTGATATTACTGTAGATTTACTACAAGGCAATGATTTAGTTAAGTAAAATGACATAATTTAAATAAAGGATGTCGTACATGTCATACAACTAAAGATTTATTGAAATCAAATAATTTAGATTTGCCATTAGTTTCTCGATATCATCACCAAACAAATAAACAATTTAAAGAAATGTTCGCAGCTTCAATAATAACAGAATGTAAAGAACTTGCTACACAATATGGATTACGTTTACAACCTATAATATTAGACTAGTTACAATGGGAAAGACATCTTCAATCACCTTAAGGCATTTATCATATTACAGCTGGCAAGGTATTAATTTGTAGTTCGTGTAATAAGTAAAGATCTGCAATTAGTAAAATTTGGTGAAGATCAACTATATAATCATATAAATTGAAAATTTTCTGAAAGATCTACACAGTATTTTTACATTTAAAATATAAAAAAAAATTTTGGAAATTAATAGCCAATTAATACAAATCTTTATTTGTAAAAATAATTTTTAACACAACTCATTTTTTAAGAGCTTTTATGTACAAAACGTGTTGATTTTAATGCGAAATTTATTATAACTGAATATATGATTTCTAAATAATACCTACTTGAGCTTGAGATTTTATTACTGGAAATTACCACTGGTAGTTAATGCTTTTTCTGCTGCTTCCGCCTTTATATGCGCTAATATCTTGAAATTCACCCTCTAATTGTATCAACTTTCTGTGGTATTTTTTCTTTTGCCAAATGTCCCATTTCTACAGCTATATGTAATTCTCTCATCATATCTTCAGCTGATAAATATGACTTATCAGGTGTATTTCTGCTATGGAAATAACCTTTCATTAACTCAACAACTTCCTTTGGAATTCTTTTACCACCACCTTTTTTACTAAACTTTTATTTTTCACGTAATGCCCAACCACTTTCTAATCAGAACATACAATTTCTGTTAAAAAAGCTAATTATTTGTTTTATTAATTTAAAATCAAACAAAATATATTACTCATTGGTTAAAAAACTCAATCCTAACCTACTATCTTCATTTAGCTACTGTGAAGTCATATCTACTACTTCAAAAAGAAGTTTGTATTTTTGGATAGTGTCTGTATTATCTGTAAAAATTATCAATAATTTATTTCAAAAAAAATTTGGTATGTGAAACTTTTTTTAAAAACTTACTTTGTTTAGTTTGAGTTTTCAATGTTTCATTTAAAAGATTAACTAATTGTGTATGTGTTGATTTTAGATCAAAATTTACTTTATATCTATTTAGTTCATCATGAAGTTGAGTAATATATAATCGATTAGGTTTGATACCTATAAATAATATTTATTATTAGTATATCTGTTTTTTGATTAATATAATAATATTTTAATAATACCTAAAATATTTGGCATTAGTATAGACCATTAAGCTTTTGGCGTTGTAAGAATATCAAATTCTGATTCAGGTTTTTCTAATAGAGCAGAGATTATTTTAGCAATTCTTGTAAGAGAAAAATTTATAAAATCTCCAATATGAGGTAATTTGCATGCTTGAATAAAGCCATTATATTTCCCTTCATATGACCAATATCATTCATACATTTCAGCTATTCCAGCTAATGTCTCTACTTTTTTTCTTTTTGATCTATTAGGTTCCAAATGTGTAACTGATATTCCCTGAATATTTTGAATAGATTCTTCGATTTGAAAACCACTTATCAAGTCTGATCTTAAGCGTACAAATCATCTGATTGCATATGCAATCTAATATAAAGTAAAAGTTAGATTTTTAGTTAATTATAAACAAAAAAATATTATTACATACTTGTGCATGATGTAAATCAATCATTGTTTTTACTTCTCCTAGTTCTAAAAATAACCACTTTTTAACTTCAACTTAATACCAATTAAACCAATAGCTGAGTATAACCATTAGTTCTGAATTGTGATAGTGAGGTCCATTATCAGAAATGAAGGTTATCCATTTGGGTCTTTTCTCAAGAGAAGTAATAACCGCATGAAGAGATGATGCAGTAAAGTATGCATCTTGATGTTGATCATCTAACCAATGATCAAATGCATGAACATTCAATTGAGCATTTTCTCCTTTAGTAAATAATAATATGATATGTAAGGTCTATCCTCTTTTTCTAAAAAAATCTTCTTTAGTTTCTCTTATTGATTGTTTGAGTATTTTCATTTTATAATCTACTATAATTAATGCACCATTTTGATCAAGTTCTTTGAGATAAATTTCAAATTGACTATTTAGATATACTTTTTGCACTAAGTGAGTCATATAATAAATCAATTTATCTTGATTAACTAAAGAGATTCCAAATGGTCTTATCCTAAATATTCTTCGAGTTGCTTAAAAATTAACCAAAGATTTTTACAACTTGAACAAACAGTCGTATGTAAGTCTTTACATATACCTAATGAATATGCAAGACAATGAGAAATCCAAGAATTATGTTTTAGTTTTCTATTAAGATCCACAGATAAATCCCATTTAAATTCTCTTTTTATATAGTGACGTAATATTTCAATTTGATTAATTATATTTGACTAATAAAAAATTTTTATTAGAAATTTTATTATAAAAAAAAAATTTCAAAATATATTTGAATATAATTACTTTTTTATCTGAAATTCTAATATTGAAGATATTAAACCAATCAAATCATTAAAAACATCATAACCATAATTACAACAGGTATAACATATTCCACCTTAATTTTCTTAATATTGATATCTTCCTTTTGCTAATTCCACCATAAATGTTATTCTTTTAATTCCATTTGGAAAATTTCTAAATATTATTCCTAAAGAGCAGATTTTGTATTTTGAAAATAAAGAATTGGTAGATCAGTTTTAGCATCTACTTTATATGAACTCATTGTAACAATTTCTTTATTAGAAAAAAAAATTTCAATTTGTTTTTTAGCTTCATCTGATATGCAGTTTTGTGTAATTAGTGGTTATTTTATAGGAGAACATCCTGGTCTATTAAGTCGTGCATACTTTCGGGCTTCATTCAAGATATGTGATGTTGTTTTTATCTAAATTATTAATGTCAATATATTAATAAATTAACACAAATCAATAAAATACAATCAAAATCTTATATACTATACTGTATACTTATATTTAGCATTTTCAATTGTTCTAAACTATAATCCTCAGCAATTATTGAAAGAATTCTTCATTTACCATTAACTCCTTTCTTATTATTATTAATTGCTTTAGCGATAGTTGTAGCCAGTTTTTTCATTTGCTTATATTAAAAAAAATTATGAATTGTTATTAAACTATACATTACCAATTGGTCATCAAGTGGATAAGGTGTTACATTAAAACATATTGCTGCTTTTAATAAAGCACGTTAAGCACAAAGTTCTCATGATTTAAATGCATAATCAGACATTTAAATACTTTTTAAAGCCAATTTTAATTCAATAATATTACTTGTTTGTTTATTCCAATCAGAAAAAACTTTATACTACTGAATATTGGTATGTTGTAATGGGTAAAATTTTAGATAGATTTAATTAGTAGAATAGAAAGTCAATTTTATTGCCATGTAGATCTTCTATGAAGATCATTTTGTCCATTTTATTGCCATCGATCA